CTTAGTTTAGGATTCCCTATTTACATAAAATATTTGCTTCGGTAACGGAGGAGCAATATATTTATCCTAAATTTAGAAATCTATAATAAATAACTCAAACTTTATGCTAAATTAGGCTGAATAAAATTCAGGAGGAGCAATTTATGCTTCTAATTCTAATATTAATATAAATAAATGCATCTTTTAGAATAATATATCTAAAAAGGAAAGAGGAGGAGCTATCTATAGTGATAATACTTAAGTCATAGTAAGCAATTCTAATATTATAAATAATATTGCCTATGTGGGTGGTGGAGTTTATTACAACAAAATGAATACAATAGATATTGATAGAGCTAGCTAAATTTATGGAAACTAAGGTAAAATTATTAATAGTTTATTTACTTTTTATTAAATTATCTTTATTATAGGAAGGTTTTATGGTGATAATTTAGGTTCTTACCCTAGAAAACTATTAAAGGTCGATTTAAAAACTAAATAGGTTAACAGCAAAATAGTAATTGAAAACTTTCAAAGTGGCAATTATACAAAATAACCTCTATTTGTGCAATATTTTGATGAAGAGAATAAAATATTAAATTTTAACATTGCAGAATCGCCCAATTAGTTTTCTCCAAGCATAAAATAAGAGATACAAAATTATTAAATATCAATAGCAAATTCAACTGATATAAAAGGCTTAAATATAATTTTAGGATAGTAGTTAGAATATATAAAGAAATTCAATTTATTTTAACTAAATATAACAGCAGGAAATTATTAGAAAACTGATTTCAAACTGGTTTTATATTCAGAATTTTTTGCTATGTAGCTTACTTTAGATGTCATCCTCAATTTTAGAAAATGTCAAATAGGAGAAATTTTATATCCAAAGCAAGGATATATTTCGTAATTTTATTTATCAATTTATTTATTTATAACTTACTAATAATTATTTAAAAATAAAAGCTGCGATTAATGTATATCAGGCACTTATTCTCTAGTTAATCCATACTAAGGGTAAAACAATAATCCTGTTCAGTGCTAAAAATGCCCCTCAAATAAAGCAAAATTATGTTATTCTAACAGGATAATTTTGTAAGAAAATTATTGGAGAGAGTCAAATTAAACGGATATTATTTATTCTTGCAATATGATAGGATGTAGTGAAACATCTTATAATTAAATAAATGGCTGTATCAAAGGATATATAGGTCCATTATGCAATACTTGTGATTTTAAAGGAAAAATATGGTAAAATAGCTATGCTTAAAAAGGTAAAGAATGTATTGAATGTAATAAAGTAGTAGATTTATATATTTATTTTATTTTGCTAATATTTTTATACGCTTTATATATTGTAAGAAGAGTAAATAAGTAAATAAATACGAATATACTAATAATCAAAATAGATTACTTACGAAAATTGCGTATAGTATTTTTAAGCAGGTCAAAATATATAGGCTCAGATACAGGAATTACATTAAAGATACTTTTTAATTACTTATAAATACTATCATCATCAATTGATGTATATAATTAAATTCCTAACGTGATTGGAACTACTTTTAAAATAGCTGGGGATCCTGCGTAAGTAACCTATACAAATTTAGATTGTATTTACAAAGATTGGATAATTTCTGAGCTATGGTTTAACAGGCTTATAATGCAAATTACCTAAATTTTTATTATAACATCAATAGTACTTTTCTACAGAATTCTGTTGGATAAACGGTCAAGAATTTTTTATAAAAAGAAGATATATTTTATATTCCTATATTTCTTTTATTAGCCTTCAATTGTTAAATTGCTTGTCTCTCTTTGCATATGTAAAAGTATAGGAACCAAAGTCTATATGCTTAATGATCTTACCTAATAGTGTTGGACAAGTGAACATATAATTCTTTCATTAGGAATCATATATCCGCTTACTTTAGTTTGGTGTTTAGGAATACCATTGATATTTTTATATAAAATTAGATCTGCAATTATTTCGAATTAAAAAGATAGAGTTTAATTTTTATTATCATATTATTTTATTTTGCAAGGCTATAAAGATAAATTTTATTATTGGGAAATACTAAAAA